TATTGTTACCGTAATTTTTGCCCATCCTTTGTTTTTAAATGCTCGAGTTTGTTCCAATATGCCTCTCTCCCCCAAATTCAGTGGAGCTCTGGTTACTCTGGTTAGAAATTCTGTAGATTCAAGATGAATGCCATATCCAACGCTTTACGATTCAGGGTGAGAGGTTGGGCACAGGGGCAACCCTATGTTGCTACAAGTAGCAACGGGGGTCGTACTTGGATGGACTTGGAGGGGGGTCGTACTCTCTCGGTGGCCGGCTTGCTCGGCATTGCTTGGAAAACATGGATAATAGCCAGCACGTTACGTTTTCGTAAGATGACTGATACTAGAGCATCTATAAATAAACCACGCTTCCTTCTAAATGAGCTTTCAAATGAATCAGCGAATTAGAAGGGCGCCCGAGGCGTGGCGCGCACCAAGGCAAGGGATGTAGTGCAAGCGCATGCTCGAAGCTTTCTAGCACATCCTATGTTAACATGAAATTGGTCTTCCAAGAAGTTACGGGCAGTGAAACCTAAGAAAACCCGCGTTTTCGAGAAAATGGCTTGAAGAATACCCCTCAAAAAAAAAGTAACAACGGGACTAATTTTTGAACTGCTGACTTTTCAGGAACGTTTGGGTGCTCGTTAGAAAGCTTGAATCCTGTAGTTTGTCATACCGTGTTCAGCTTCCCAAATGAATGACTTTGAAGGAAGTTATGATCGTTTGAAGGTAAAAAGTCGCGGTTCCAAAAAAATAGTAACGCAAACCCCCAAAAAAGTAACAACGGGACTAATTTTTGAACTACTGATCTTTCAGGAACGCTTGGGTGCTCGTTAGAAAGCTTGAATCCTGTAGTTTATTATACCGTGTTCAGCTTCCCAAATGAATGACTTTGAAGGAAGTTATGATCGTTTGAAGGTTGAAAAAGTCGCATTTGCACAGAAAAAAGTAACAACGTGCTAAATTTTTATTAAATTAACTTTCGAAGAATTTTACCATGATTGGAGAGAGAATAATTTGAATTTTTCAAATCAAATCACTTCGGCGCAAAAGCTCGAATATGAAGGAAGTTATAGCCCTAGAAAGAGGAAGGTAAAAATTGTAGTGCAATTTTATTTTTGCTTAATAACTTATTCATTTCAATTGTTTGAGAACAAATGAGCTTTACTTAGAAAGGATGAGCCTCGCTGATCCAAAATCCACCACCTTCTCCGAGCTACCTGAAATTTAACGAAGAAAAGTTCGTCCAGATTTCAGAATCCCCGTTCGCCGTCTTCACGGTCAGCAAACGCGCTCCATCGTCAGGACGACAGTGGGCGCGATTGAGCACCCTCAAATGCGATCATTGCTCGCGTTTTGTTTGTTTTTGTCTGGTTCAACACTGACACCAACCGTTCGTCCTTTTTTTGCTCTTTCATCCTGATTCTTTGCTGTGAGTGCATTACTCGCTCTCCTTTATCCTCGCTCTCTATTCCTCTCCTCCACTGGAGAGAATGACCCTTTGTTCGTCAGCACTGCGCCAAAAGTGCCTTGTCGCCAAAAGTGCTGACGAATGAAGAGATATTTTCTCCAGTGGAGAAGATAGAGGCAGATGGCTCCTCGTTCGTCAACACTGTTTGTCGCAAAAAGTGCTGACGAACGAGGAGCCATTCTCTCCAGTGGAGGAGATAGAGGCAAATGGAAGGATTGAAGTTAATACACAATACTTTTTGGCCCATATTCTTTCCAATCATTCTTTGTGGACATTCTTTCCTCTCATGCAGTTCTTGGGAAGATCTGATGCGGTCTGAACACAAGTATGACATATGGGGGGGGGTCTTACCAAATCGCTCAAAAATCGGGGGGAGTCGTAACAAATCTCCGAGAAGTAACAACGATAGGGTTGACCCAGGGTCAACCGTTACGTTGGACCGATATTGGAGCGACGTTGGACCGATGTTCACCGCTCTCCGCGCCGGCATTCACTCTCGCCACCCGCGAGCCGTCTGTGTCTCCGTGCGTACGTTCACTCTCGGCATTACTCTCGTCGTCGCGTTGGACTTTGTCCAACGGACGGTTGACCCTGGTTGACCCTGGTTGGGCAGTACATATGAGGTAAGGCAAACAGTAGGCCTACAGAGGAGGGGGACCACATGGGTAGACTAGCAACCAGTAGTTCTCCCTTTATTTTCTCCGTGGCCCATCCCTTTTATTCTAGGGCTCAGGCTCTTAACTCCTTTCCTCCTTTACCAGGAAATGCTTTCAAATTCCCATGGAACTATGAATGGAGACTGGGATGAATCAATAGAGTAATGAATGCTAGTTACAAATATTGAGACCAAAACTGCTACGTGAACATTCCAAGCAAATCGTTAAAGTTGACAGGAAGGGTAGCGTCAGCATAGGAGGCGAGCTAATCTAACCGCATCGGCGTTTTTAGTTTTTCCTGAAACAGTACCTATAGGGTAAACAGATGGCCTGGTCACGAATATGACATTCATTTTTGAAACAGAGGCGATCTGGCGCCAGTTTGGTGCCGCAACTCACTTTTTTACTGCATTTCTTGCCAACTTTGACCGCTCACAACTTGCCTAGAAAGGTCGCGTAGCAGTTTTGGTCTACATATCTGTGAATAGTATTCAGTACTCTACCGATTTGCCTGGGTCTCCATCCAAAGTTCCATGGGAATTTGGAAACATTCACTGGTTGGGACTGTACATGCATTGATAAGATAAGGGCCTCAAATAACCCCTATCCACAAGTTCACAGAGTTTGGTAAAAACGGCCTGAGTCGTCATTTGACGCCAAATGGCGCCAGCGTCAAAAGTAGAAGCAATATTCGTGATCAGGAGTCTCGTTAACCATCTCCCGCCCACCAGTGCAAGTTTTAAGGAAAAATTGACCCATCTTACTCCTTTGGAGTAGCAATAGTGCGATGAAAGTCCTATTTTTTTGGAATTGAGATATCGATGTGTTTTGCATAGCATCTCTTTCCCTCTTTGTAACAACAAATCATCTCTTCAGAATTTGAGCTGCTGTACGTTGCAAAAATCCTGAGATTCAATAGAATCCCAGAAATATTTTAATTAGCCGCTGATAATTACGGAAATTTTTATCTTATCTGTTATCGTTAAATTATTATCTTATCTATTATCTGCTCCTTTCAAATTGTTATCTTGTTTTTTCCTTACTTTGAGTAGTTCTTTAATATTTTTTGAGTGGGGAAACTACACTGCCTGTTGGGGCGCAATTTGACTTATTGTTAGAGAGCATCACTTCAAGTGCATCATATTGATAGGTTTGCACGTATGCATATGAGTGCTATGGTGTCCGTTGTGGTCGTTCGCTGGGTGTTTGATCGATGGCTCGGATCTTTCGGTAACCGGTCCCGTGGTGTAGCGGTTAGCACTCAGGACTCTGAATCCTGCGACGGGAGTTCAAATCTCCCCGGGACCTAGGCGTTTTGCAAATGATGTCTGTGATGGAATAATGAAGGCTTCTGTGGAAAAAAGCAAGTAACTGTTCTCCAGTATCTTTCACAGGAGACTGTTCATGAAAATTATATCAAAAAAATGTTCAGCTTGAAATGATAGCATGCCATTACAGTATTGAGAGGCCAAATCAAGTTAAGTCTTCAGTGCATAGTGACTGAAGGCTTAATTCGCTTTTCTCTGCTGGCCGGAGTTTTCGCCCTGAGTTAGGCAATCTAATTAGTCGAATTTAAGGCTTGGGCTTCCTGTAGCGTCTGTCAGGAGGCGTCCTACAGGCCAGTCTTTTCATCCGTGCAATCGCTATGTGCAGTTTCTTTTTGAAACCGGTTCCTCATTTAGTGAGAAAGAGGGAACTCCAACGCGAGGCAGCGACTCAAATGAGCGCGGCAAGGAAGCTTAAAGGAATCCTTCGGAAAAAGCTCCGCCCTCATTACCACAGAAAACGATACCTTAAAGGAATCTTCCACGGAAAGAGTGATCATTTTGTCTTGTGTGTAGGATTAGTATTATCGAAACTAACGCTTATGTTCCGTTCTTTTTGCTATGCTCATGAGGCTAGGGGCCTAAGGGGTATCGTTTTTCTGTGGTAATGGAGGCGGAGCTTTTTCCGCGGAAGATTCCTTTAACCTTGTTTGTGTCACTGCTGTGCTGTTTTAATACTTTCAACACTGTATTCGTAGCGGTTGTGCCTTCTCGCTTTTCCCTCTCCTCGCGGGACTGTATCTCTCCGTCCTACCATGGTCAACCTCACAAAGGAAATTTGCAGTTTTCTTGTCCCGCCTGGGGCGAAAGTTTTGTTCACAACCCAGCATTTTGTGAAACATTCGCAAGGCGAACTGCGGCCAAAAACAGCAGTTAACAAACAAAAACAAGTCAAATTTGCAGTGTTTCCATGGCGCTTTTTGCTTTCCCCCTTAACGTTCTTTATCGTTTTTTGTCTAATTTTCGAATGAAATAACGCACCAGGATATCAACCTTTGCCTTTAACCTATGCGTTGGGATGAGTATTGAGCCAGCCCGTTTCCGTGCGTATCTGTCATCTGTACAGAGTTTGAATTATTCCATAGGGTTCCATGATACTCATTGCAGGCTTGAGTCGGCCTATCTGGAGCATGCCTTCAGGGAAGGCGCAGAATTGTTGAAGCCAGGGACGCATGGAAAGCCGTTCAACGATGATGGAGGATCATAGCGCGGCTCTCTGTAAAGTTTGTCATTGTGGACACCAAGGAATGTGACAAAGAAGGGAATAATTACTACAGCAATACTCAGCGTAGCTTGTGGAGCGCCCAGAAGGAGCTTTCGAAGTTCTTCTTTTCTTTTTTTGCAGGCTCGCTTCTTGGGTTGTACACTTTCTTATTTGAAACACAGTACCCAATCTCTGCATTTGTATATGTGTCACGATCCTTTGAGACCGGGGCTTTTGTGTGTGTGTCGCCTACCGAAAGCGGCTGTCTATTTCAGGCCGTCTGCTGCTCACTCTCTGGCAAATATCACTTTGTTACATTATGACATTATTATTTCTTCAATGAGATCGACTTCCTAAGAACAGCAGTTCGGTGATCGCCAAGCAGATTTTGTTGCCATTGAGTAAAGCCCTGCAAATATGCATGAAAGGGCATCACTATAGTGAAAGCCAAATATGCACTGCATTTTATAACCTTAAGAGAACTTACGAATTGGTGCTGACTGACTTTTTCGGTGCTTGGGGAATGGCAGGTGAGCAACAAGGGAGAAAAGCTGGAAATGAAAGGCTTCAAGTGTAGACTGCATGAGTTCACTTACGGTTTAACATGATGGATGTTCTTGTGAGACTAAATTTCCAGGAAAATGGCATTTGATTTTTGGAACAGCAGCGATTATTTGAAGGATATTCCAATGAAAACCTTCATAGAGATCGTTGTATTATGAGGAAGTCGTTTTTGACAGGGTGAAATTGAGGCAGTAAAGGCCTCTAATCCTCTCTGCTTAATTCAATGGCCCAGTGCTGTCGAGGGCAATCAAGCCGATATCACTTGCAGATCGACTGAACGGTCTATACTTGGTTGATATTCGACCCCCAACTGTTGTGCTCGCCAAGTGCACGGCCAATACCTCCACGATCATGGGTGGATGTGGAATGCATGGCGCACCCTGAGTGCACTAATGTCGAACCCACCCACGTTTATATTTTCAACTTCGACTCGTTTGTATTGTGGAAATTTTAATCATTTAAAACTCTTCCACAGTCTCTGAACGGCTCCACCACACCCGCGCGTCATTATTGTGAACTGAGGGTCACCTCATTGATGTTGAAGCCTGTCTTTGCAGAAGTTTCCACATACGACGCATTATACTCGGCCATCATTCGATCCATAATGAACTTATCGTGTCGCCTGAAATGACTTATTCAGCATTACGACGCAGTGCAGATCATTGTATCACCTTTGCCTGAGATCGCATTTACTGCCTACGAGCACCACCATAGCTCCATCTTCTCGTTCTCTTTCAGCAAAGA